TTGTGATTATGGATGACATTATGTGAAGCTGTATAATGTGACGTTCCTGATTTCCATATAAAAAGTAAGACAATTTAAATGTTCATCTTACCTCAAGTCTCTCTCTCTCTCATAGACAAACACGCACACCCTCACCCAATCCCACGCAGGGAACATACTAGCCCGGTGCTAGCACAGACACATGTATACATCAGGAATGCTTATATGACCTATTTACTTTGTTTTTCATCTGCTTCATTATTCTGTGTTGATTTTAATCATCCATAAATTCCAAACAGACATACACAGGATATCCTTATAATTGACAATGTGAACCGTTGATCATATATTCGATGTATTATTTTCTTGTTTTTTATCTTCCATACATTTTTGCTATTTCTCAAATCTTTTGATCAGCTAATTAGACCTTGTGTAAGCCTTCAGGATCAATTTTCTAGCCTGCACATGTTCTGCAGAAGGCTGTCTTATGACAGTTCTTTGCAGATGGTGTAAATAGGGAAAGATAGTGCTCTTACCCATTAGTTGTTTTAAAATATTTGTCTTCAATATAACATGATGCATATCCTTTGCCACTGCTTGTTTTGTTTTTCCTGCTTTTATGCTGAGCTGGTTATGAATTCTGTACTTCATTGTTCAACAGAAACAAAAACAAACGCCCCAAAGTGGACAAAAGCGAAAGCGTTCATCCAAAGATGAGGAAGATGATGATGAAGATAAAGTTGAATCACCAGTTGCTAAAGATGATTCAGAAGAGGATGATGAAAATGAGGCAGAAAAGAAAGAAGAGAGTGATCATGATGAGATCAAATCAGAGGAAGAGGAAGATGAGCCAAAGGAGCAGACGCCACCTAAGAAGATATCAAAAAAATCTGCAAAGCAGAGTTCGGCGGTTAAAGGTGCTGAGAAAGTTACCCCTAGCAAAAAGAGCACCCCTGCAAAGCCTGTCAAAAGTCCAGTAAAATATACCAAAAACACTTCTGGCTCATCATCAAAAAGGGGTGCTAAAGATACTGATGGAAGTTCCAGTTCTGTTTCTAAATCAAAGGGATCTGCATCTAAGAAACTTAAGATTGAAAAGGAAAACCCTAAGGACCGAAGCACTTCCTCCAAGGACAAGGTCACTGGCAAGAAGCATTCGACTAAGTCCTCATCAAAGGATACTGCAAAAGATCAAGGTGAATGATTTTTCTTCTATTCCTGATGTTTAAGCTGTCAGTTTGAAACTATGATTGTTTTGAGCAAGTAATTTATTTGTTTTGCATTTTGTCTATGCAACACTCTTTTATGTACCTATATTTTGGTGATTATGTGTTTTATGGTGAGTCTTTTGTGAGGTGAAAAAGTAGGGGTAAAATATCATGCAAGCGTTAATATGTAAATTTTAAGGGGGAGAATTTGTTGAAGTTGTAAATATTGATTGCATTTAATAGGATTCACATATCCAATTGCTTCAATAATTTATTGATTTTGTAGTTACTGTTGTTGTTCCTTAAATGCCACTTCTCTTTCTTCCAGTTTCTTTTGCACTCTTCAAAATGGACAGAACTTGGATTATTCCCCCTTATAATTTTTTTGCTGCGAGCACAATCATGTCAAATAGGAAGCTTGAGCTCAGTGGAAGTTTATCACTGTTGAAGGACTTTGAAACATGCTAAGTGATGGTGGTTTGTTATAGGAGACAGGGCTAGGATGGAGCAATAATTATAATGTAATTACAAGGTTTGTGTTGTTAAAGAATATCCAAGAAATGTGGTTGGAATTGTATTTGAGAGATCCATAGATAGTTGTCTTGGGTGGACAGGGAGTGTTAGTTTTGAGAACAAATTACAAAGAGTGTTTGCCACCCCTTGTGGTTGGCGAGTAGCGTTTGAAACGTTACCCTTCTGATTATTAACTTAACAATTTGTCTTACTGAACAATTATTCGAGGAGGTAGTGTGCATGGGTGATTTTTCACTCCCTTTCACCTGCTTCCAAAAACCTCCTTAAAAGTGTCTATATCAATATCCTTTTTGAAGATTGTGTATGATAAAAAAAGCAAAGGAAAAAACTAGGTCTAGTTTTATCTTTTGAAAAAGAATGGGTGCACAAGCTTAGTGGTGAATCATAAAAGGACATCTTTTGAATGTTGCAGAGTTTTGGAGAAAGGACAAAACTATACAAGCATAAATTCTTTTTAAAATTGATATGCATCCGCTCTTCAATTGCAGTTAAAAATAGGATGGATGAAGTAAAAGATGTTATTTTGCAGAAATAAAATGAAGAGTGAGATGGTGTCATTTTCACAAGTTGCAGGGAGAGAAATAGGATAAAGTAAAAGATGTTATTTTGGAGAAACAACATTCATAGAGTGCTTGTATCTATGGCATGAAGAAAAGATTTTGATGCCCATATAATAGATGTTGTCTATTACACCTTCCTGGATTTAACCTGTTGTGCTTGGTAGATATTTGTTAAACAATAAACAGGGTGAGAGGATCTCCATTTGTTTAAATTTTGTTGTTAGAGAATTTGTTCGCCTGCCTTATGATTTTTATGTCTGAAAATTAGGTAAAGTCAAGTCTAACAAAAAGGCCAAGGCAGAACCCACCAGACAAGAGATGCATGCAGTTGTAGTAAATATTCTGAAGGAAGTGGATTTCAATACTGTAAGTCTTGCCTGTGATTTAGCTTTGTAATTTGCATAGTTAGGACAGTTTGTCTTGCTAGTTATAACATCCTTAAGAATCTGTTTCTGGTGATGTGCAGGCAACTCTATCAGATATTCTCAGACAGCTTGGTATGTATGGTTTATCTTTCTTCTATTACTTAGATGTTGGCATATTTCCATTTCAACTTTGCACATCACACATATAATTTTGGTTATATTAGGTACCCACTTTGGCATAGATCTAATGCATAGAAAAGCAGAAGTGAAGGATATTATTACAGATGTGATAAATAGCATGTCTGATGATGAAGAAGGTGAAGGGGAGGACGCGGAGGATAATGCTGAGGGTGGTGATGATGCAGATAAAGATGGTGATGAGGATGATGATTAGTTCATTTTATTACAAATGCTTTACTTGACTCCTGTAGAACATGAGGTATGTGGTGTATTCTCCAGATATCACCCCCCACTGGAGGGGCTTCAACAACAGATACTGATGATGCACCAGTGTTGCAATTTGGATCTTGTTACCATTTCCAGATGAAGGCACCCAGCCGGGTTTGTTTTGTATCATATGCTTTAGTACATTTTGCTCTTACAGGTAGTGCTGAGCTGAACTTTAATTCTTGGTAGTTTTATTTCTCCATCCCCGCCTCCACCCCCAACGTCCCTTTCCATTTAGACTTGGCTTTTAGGTATATTTGTTGACTTTTCCCTGCAAAGGAGTAGAGATTTGAACCGCAACTCTCATGTGGTCCTTACGGGTGCTTATAATTTATGAACAATGTAAGTTGAATGCTTGGCAAATTAACTGTCACAGGTGATAGTTTCTGTTTAACTTAAATTTATCTGGAACTTTATGCTATGCAATTTAATGGCCTTAATGATTTGAAACTTAAAGATAATGTTTCTTTGAGAGTAAGGTACTTGCTCGGCTTACCAGCAATTGTCACACATTTTTTAGTGTTGGTATTGCAGTGGAAGGTGCTTTTCCAAAAGTGTTTTTCAGCTGAAAAGTTGCCAACCGGATGCTTTTTGGGGGTGTTTTTGGTATTACAATGCCCGTAGCACCAAAACCTTCAATCAATGTTTTCAGCCTACCAGAGTGTTGTACATGCCATAGTTGCTTTGCTAATAAAGCTTCCTTGGTAAAAGTGGATGAAGTGTTTGTTCTGCGTACTAGCATTGGTTGATTTTACTAGGGTTGATTGGTAGATGAAAATTGTTTTGAAGTGTGAAATTGAAGCCTGCATGAGCTTTTGAGAATGAATTTATTCGGCTGTAAGCTTTGAGAGGAATTCCTGTCCAGTCTGGACTGATGCAAATAAAAATTAGTGAAGGGCTCTAATTACCTGGTGCAGCGGGTGATGGTTTTGCTGAAGGTTCTCCCTGGCATTTCCATTCTATTGACGGGTTTAGATACCTAAAACCAATTAAGCTAAGGTCTTTATCTTTATCAATGGAGTTGCCTTGGGCATTGAATGCTGGCTTCGAATTGGTGTCCATACTTTGATTTGATTGTAGCCTATTCTTTATCTTTACTTGAACTTGCATCAATGGAGTTGGTATTAAAACGTTAATACTGATCTGGTATCCGTCCTTTTCCCAACTTGAACTTGCATATCAATGGGTTAATACCGGGATCTGAGTTGGTATCCATCTTTATCTTTGAAGTTAAAGTCTTTTTCGTTACTTGAACTCGATAATGGGGGTGTTCAAACCCATGCAAGTGGTGATCACTTCATACTGTGCTATAACTCGAGTTTTATGAAAAAGCTATTGTCCCGTGGGATCTTCTACGTTTCGCAAGAGACAGGATTTGCAAATGGATTTTAGCCCCTCTGCTTAAAAAAAGTCTGATTGAAATGTTTCAACCAACAAGCTACCAATCAAAGTTTTTTTAAGCTTTCTTGCCTAGGCTGATGCCACCAATGCTAGTTTCACTGGATAGTATATCTGGAGGCTGCAAATTTTGTCGCTATGTCGAGGATCATAACAAAGACTTGGCTCCAGAGCAAAGGATGTGTATCAATTCGGGACGCTATCGACCCATTAAACAATCAATTTGCATTGACTAGTGCAATGCATTATGGAGCATCTTATTTGTGTATTGAATAATCAGCCGGCTCATGGGTCCATAACTTGTATAACTTTACCATGAAAAAATCTAATCAGAGTGGGTTGCAGATATTCAGCACATGATTTTGTCCGTAAAACCTGTAGACAAAGGAACAATTTTGTTTACAAGAAATCTGACAAATAAAATCGAAGCAAGGAAATCTTGGACGCCAACCCTACCAACCAAACCCAGGACGACTCTTCTTTCTCACGCGAATTTTGGTAGCTGGTGATGTTTTGGTTCTGTGGCCAGTAGCCTACCACAACCCCATATGTGACCTCTCCATAATCTGCAAGCTTGACATTGCGACGATGGCTACAAGAAGACTCAAAAGGGTTGCAGTTTTCAATTTCTTATTGTAGGGTCCCTCCATTTACACAACCTTACGTGCAATTTTTGCGATACCAAGAATCCCCATCACCTGTCCCCGTCACGCTGTAGTGTTCTTATCAACCAAAACAAATGTATTCAATGCTTACCAGGTCCATTTCATCCTATATATCTTCAACATTATTATACACGTAGATAACAGTTGTTACCCGCTCCATACTCTAGCGTTGCAGGTATGTATTTAATTTCTTCTTACTGTTCATGAATTGTATGGTCTGTAATCTGTGATGTTCAAGGAGCATATGTGCGTTTCTTGAACAGATCATAGGTTTTTTTCATTGTATGTTTTTTTGAAGCATCTTTCTTTGTTTTTTTGAGCCAGGTTTTGTTTTTTAAGGAGTCTTACCTGATGGCAGATGGTAATAACGATGCTTTAAAACTTAATGTTAAGCAAGGAGAACCGACTCTGGTTCCTCCTGCAGAGGAGACAAAGAAGGGCCAGTACTTTCTCTCAAACCTTGACCAAAATATAGCAGTCATAGTTCGTACGATTTACTGCTTTAAGTCTGACGTGAAAGGAAATGAGGATGCTGTGGAAGTCATTAAGAATGCCTTGTCAAAAATTCTTGTGCACTACTATCCAATAGCTGGGCGGCTAACAATTAGCTCAAAAGGAAAGCTGATAGTGGATTGCACCGGGGAAGGTGCTGTTTTTGTTGAGGCTGAAACGGATTGTGAAATAGCCGAGCTTGGAGACATAACAAAGCCTGATCCTGTGACTCTTGGGAAGTTGGTTTATGAAATTCCTGGTGCACAAAACATACTTCAGATGCCTCTTGTAACGGCTCAGGTTTGAAGAATCTTTGACTATTTATGTCAGTTAACCTTGCAGGTTCTATATAGTTGTACTACTGTAGGGAAGTTAAATCCTTTTCGATAGTAAGCCTAAAAGAACAAAAAATCTCATTTTTGTACAAAAAATTGCTATTGTTTTCCAGGTGACTAAATTCAAATGTGGAGGATTTGTTCTTGGGCTATGCACGAACCATTGTATGTTCGATGGAATTGGTGCTATGGAGTTTGTGAATTCATGGGGAGCTACTGCTAGGGGTTTGGCTCTCGATGTACCTCCATTTCTAGATAGAAGCATACTCAACGCTCGAATCCCACCTAAGATAGAGTTTCCACACCATGAATTTGATGACATTATAGATGTGTCAAATACCAGCAAGCTTTATGAAGAGGAAATGCTCTATAGATCTTTCTGTTTTGACCCCGAGAAACTTGATCAACTCAAGGAAAAAGCTATGGAAGACGGAGTTATAGCCAAGTGCACAAAATTTCAAGTTCTCTCAGCCTTTGTGTGGAAAGCTCGATGCCAGGCATTGAGGATGGTGCCTGATCAACAGATAAAGCTCCTGTTTGCTGCAGATGGACGGTCTAGATTTGAGCCACGAATTCCTGAAGGATACTTTGGCAATGCGATCGTGTTAACAAATTCTATGTGCACAGCAGGAGAGATAATGGAAAACCAGTTGTCCTTTGCAGTAAGGCTAGTTCAGGAGGCAGTTAAAATGGTTGATGACAGTTATATGAGATCAGCGATAGATTATTTTGAAGTTACAAGAGCCAGGCCCTCTCTGAATGCGACTCTTCTAATCACAACTTGGTCTAGGCTATCTTTCCACACAACAGACTTCGGATGGGGGGTGCCTATTTTATCAGGGCCTGTGGCTCTACCAGAGAAGGAAGTAATTCTTTTCCTTTCTCATGGGAATGAGAGGGAAAACATAAACGTTCTCGTAGGCCTGCCAGCTTCTTCCATGAAGATATTTGAAGAACTAATGCAGATTTGAGCATCAAAAGATTCATCCAAAGCTCGTATCGGAGAGAAGTCTCCCTGATTTCTATTTCTTGAAGTTGTTTATATGTTTGTTTTTTTTCTTGCCAAGAGATGCACTTTACATGGCTATGATATGATATCTAAGCGGAGGAAGATTAAAACCCTAGCAAAGTAATTCAATCCAGGTCTGGATGAAATGGCAGATGAACTGCACGTGTCTGGGCATCATGCTGGATGTCGTAAGTTAATTTAAAACCTCGATAACACGCAACTCTTAGCTTTGAATTTGATTTTATGTCGCAGCTGTTCTTTTGGCTTGAATGGGTTGTATGTATTATGCTTTCAGTCAGATCTATTGAAATAAGAATAAAAGTACAAGCAGGCATTCCCTTATTGTTCCTTTTTTTGGATTTTTAAAAAAATTAATTTTTTATTTTAAATTAATTTTTTAATATTTTCATTTTACCTTATATGATAATATTAAAAATAATTTTTTTAAAATAAAAAAATATTATTTTAATATATTTTTAATTAAAAATCATTTTAAAAAACAATCACAACTGTACTCTCAAACATCCACTAAAAATTACACTTTGCCTCCAAGACTTCTCTTCCAGTCCCTTTTTTGGCTACTCTGATCGGTGTCTTCCGAAATAAACATCGGAGAATGTTGCACCAGCTGGAACTCAAATGGTTAAGCATTCTCATCTGTGTATTTGCAGAACAAGTTTCATCAGAAGATCGTAGATCTTCCCATAACGTCGACTTCTGTTCTTTTTTAATATACATAAGAAAATGGACAAAAGTTCATTCCGAACCAAAAGCCAAATTCTGAGTCCTTCCTCGAGGTTTTCTGGATACGCAAAATGAGTCTCTCTAACCACAATAATAAACTGTAGTTTTTATGGCCTGCTTGACCTTAGAAAAGTTACTGGACATACGTGTGGATGCAATACGCTGTAGGTCCATATTATTATTATGAACATATAAAGTCATGGACTTAACCTTAATTGGAGGCCTTTTCTGGTGAAGGCTACTTGAGAAAGATCCCGATGCAGAGTAATGGTGATGACAATGACTGCTCGTATAATTATGACTGCATATTTGCTTTGTCTACAGATTTTTCTAGCATGCTTTTCATGATGTCAGATTGACTTGTTTGTGAGATTTCAAAGCAATGATGTTCCCTTATACTCTCCTGCAGATCATTACAACATGTCTCTCAGAAGAATTATGTTTTTTCTACATGTAATAGAAGAAGCATGTAATGATACTAGCAGTAAGCTACCTGCCGAGAAAGAGACAAAACCATGAGTTGCCCTTGTGTAGCTAAGAAAGATTTTATGAGCATCATCACTTGTTGGGCTAGTTGATGGAGAACTAAAGAAGCTTTTGGTACACCTGTGCTAGGGAGGTCATAACCCTCCTATGTTCTGTAGTTTTTAGATTAAATTATATCATGGAAAGAGTTAGAAATTTTATAGATAGAAAAGGGAGATGAGTACTTGGCTTTTTTCAAGAATTATCATGGACGGAGCCACAAACAAGGCTTGGAACTAACTTTACTAGATCTAGGCCTTTTAATGACATGTAATTGCGCCTTGAAGAGTGAGAGAAGGTGTTGTACGAGAAGCTCACGAACACTTTCAAATCAAATCCTATGTTGAGATTGATCTAAAGACCTTTTAATGTTTAATTAAGTTAATTAGTCATGTTGTGTAGGGAATTTAGCTTTAAAAATTGTGATTTATATGTATTAAAGAAGATGATAATATAGATGCTAAGAAAATTAGGAACGTTTGTATGAGTTTTGAATGTATGAGTTTTTTTTTTTTTTACCTAGAGTTTCTTGGGTTTTTTAATATTTACACAACACACAAACTTGAAGGGAGAAAAGGGTGTATATGAAAAATCATTATTTAACATAGTATAGGATTTTATGCAATCAAACTATTCAAGTATTAGAAGAAATCTTTATATTTATTATTATTTATTCATTGAGTTGTGGAAACTCATCATTTTACCATTTAATATGTTAAAGTATATAGAGTGTTTTAGCTGATTGCAACTTATTAGAAAGGGGTTATTGTTTGTACCCTAAGTTGGTATGTCCAACACCCCTTCATGTGGGCTTTTTCAATTTGATACCCATATTGTGAACATGATTTATAATGTTGTGCAGGGCTTAAACTCCACAGTTGTAATAGTTCTTATTATTTTAGGATGACATGTATATGTATATATGATTTGTTGTTTTAAAGGGGTGCTTACTTTTTATAGTAGTGTTTTTTTTTTTTTGTTATGATAAAATCATGTTCAAGTTTGAGGTTTAATATAGAAAAAATGGTTATAACATTTTAGTGTTTGTTTGAAAATGTAGTTATAATTATATTTAAAAAACTTTATTTTAAAATGTATTAAAATGATATTTTTTTATTTTTTAAAAATTATTTTTAAAATTAATATATTAAAATAATATAAAACATATAAAAAAATTTGTACCATGTTTTGAAACGTAATCTTAATCCATATGCTGCTTAAATTATTTTTAAAATCAATATTTAAAATAATGTAAAATATATAAAAAAGTAATTTTTTTAAAATAAAATTTGCACCAAAAAGGTGATCTTAATCCATATGCTGTTTAAATTATTTTTAAGATTGATATATTAAAATGGTGTAAAATATATAAAAAACTAATTTTTAAAAAATAAAATATGCACTACGTTCCGAAACGTCATCTTATTCTATATGCTGCTTAAATTTGGGTCATGACACCTCATTGTACGAGCCATTGGTAGAGAGACATGTAGGCATGTGATGACTATCGAGGAGAAATTTGCACTGTGTGTTCATAAGCGTAGGAGGTTACAACACTGTGCTGTCAAGGCGTACCTGAAAAAGTAGACCTGCGGCTGTGTACTACTTTCTTAGAAGCCATAACACCGTGTTGTGTTGCGTGTCAGTGCTAAGCTCGTGTAAAATTTACTCGTGATTTGTTTGGGCTTGGCTGGGCCATCAAAAAATTGTCCAGATTTATGCAACCCAGCCTGAAAAAAGGGCTGGGCCAGACCTCAAAAGCATAGAACAAAACTTTATTAATATTATATTTTTTTTTGAAATGTATGCACACATTGTGAGAGTTACTTATTTTATATTTTAAGAGTTCATTGACATTACAGTATTTTTAATATATTGCATTGTCTATTTTCGTGTTGATAAATGGAGGCTGACGTGTTCATGTTCTGGTCAAGCTTCAATGATCACTGTCGTAAGCTCTGGGCCTCCAAGAACGGGTTGCTTGCTCCATTAATGAACATAAATGGGCTCAACGGGCTGGAATGGACTGGAGAAACCTTTTCTCTTCGCCCTTTTCCCATAACGGCAATTCAATGAAATAAATGAATCCATGTCATGAGAATTACAAGTTTAGCCACCATAACGAGTCTCTCTACACTATTTCAAAATAAAATAAATATTTTTTTATTTAAAAATATATTAAAATAATAAATTTTTTATTTATAAAAAAATATTTTATAAAAAATATTTTTAGCTGAGATTAATTTGAAAAAAATACATATTTGGTATTATGGTTGTGATTTGAAAATTTTTTTTATAAAAAATTACTTTTAGTTGAGATTGGTTTGAAAAAATGCATATTTGGTATTATGATTGTGATCTGAGAAAAGTTATTTTGTAAAAAAATACTTTTAGTTGAGGTTGGTTTGAAAAAATATATGTTTGGTTAAAACTGTGGTTGAAATTGAGGTTAAACAAAAAGTAGTTTAATGTGTTTGGTTAAGAATATTTTTTATGACTATCTGAAAGTGCAACAATATCAAGTAAAATATTATTAGAAATAAAATTGAGATTGCTTTAAATTTTATAAATATTATATTATTGTATAATTTTTTTAATAAATTTAATAATACTAAGAAAAATCATAAATAATAATTAGAGTAAAATAAAATAAAAAAACTAATTTTTTTTTTTTATAAAGAGATTCATTGTTTTGGTGAATGATCTCAGAGCCACCAAGCTACAGGTGAGGACATTACAAATGATGATGATATAAATATTTTCTAAAATCTTCCTTTGAAGTAGCGAATTAGAAGCATAACCTTTTACTTGCAGAAACCTTTTTACTTGTCGTGTACAGGTCATTGAATTAATTTATGAAAATAATAATGTAATCTATACCATACCTTTGTATTTAAGATATTGCCAGTGGGCCGGTAAATCCACCCTATAATCCACTGACTCGGCGACCTGATTTGATGGAGGGATCGGGTCAATTATCGGGTCAAAGTTCGCTAACATTGTGGCTCAAACAATGTTTGCGTGATGGTGTCCATTAGCTGTAAAACATGTTCTTTGCCGCCTTTGATATCTCCATCAATTCAAATTTTTATACTGTTTATCTTTGTATTTTAAAAATATACTTTTTATTTTTTTATATTCAATTATTTATTTTTTATATAATTAATATTAAAAATAAATTTTAAAAATAATAAAAACATTATTTTTAAAAACAACTATGCCACAATACTAAATAAGCCCAACAAGATTTAAGAGGCATTTGAAAGTGAATTTCAATTTGTTTTCTATTAATTTTTTTTTAATTTTTAATTTTTTTTTAATGTTTTTTAATTATTTTTTTGTACTAATATTAAAAATAAATTTTAAAAAATAAAAATATATTATTATAATATTTTTTAAAAAGTAAATAATCAGGACTGAAAAACCCTCCAGGCATTTGACTCAGCCACGACGACAAAGGAGCATGAACAAAGGTAAGTGTGGGATTTTCACGAGGCGGGCTTCCTAATCTCCTCCTAGCTGATAAAATTGACCTTTGCCTATAGCAGAGCTTTGTGGCCTTTTCATTTATTTCTTCCTAAAATTGGATGGCAGAAAAAAGAGGGAGGCGAAGGCGATGTTAAAGTCAACAAATTAGGTCGCCTGCCTACTTTACGAGGGTAAAACTATTGGCCAGGCTTGTTCAACCACCACAAAATGTTAGCTAACAAATTAATTATTTATTATTTTAACTCACATTAATATATATATATATATATATATATAGCAATTAGATTTTTAAATCTAATATAATACTGTATATATACATGTATTTATATAATATTTATTATTTTATTATTGAACATATATTTGTGTCTATATATATTTTATTAAATAATACTATAATAAATACTGTTGAATATTTAAAATTTGATAAATAATATATATATATATATTATTTAATTAATAAAAATATAAATATGAAAAGAAATTCGATTCATGGACCCTGCCAAATCAATCGAAGACAAAACGACAACAACAACCCAAAAGAGGAAAATGATACGGCTCCCTGTTTATTTCTC